CTCAGGACAACTGATTTCTCAGATTCAGAAGACCTCCTCTTCCTCCTCCAAAGTATCTCTATTGACTTGACAAGGAGACTAGCTGTAGGAGAAGAGCGCGGCCGGAAGCTGGTGGGAACGAATTGAATGTCCAGGACCAGAAGATACCCACCGGTCCCATCTGTTCTATCTACTATCTTCAATCCAATGGCCCAGACTGTTTTCCCTGCGGGTCTGCAGGGCACATGGCTCTAATTACTGCACATCTAAGGGAGAATATCGTACGGAAACCAACATTCGGTGGAAACCGATGAAAACCACAAAAAGCAGATGTTTTGAAGTTTCAAAAAAATCTGAAAAAATACAGGACGTTAGATGTTTTATTGCCGCACAAAATTCAAGTTGAAACACATTACGAGATGTGAGCTATGAAAAAGACAAAATCAGCATTGAATAGTGCCAAACAGTAATGTCATTATTTAAAACTGAATTTTTTTTTCATAGCTCACATCTTGTAATGTGTTTGAACTTGAAATTTTGCGTGACAATAAAACATCACCCTCTTAACATCCCGTATTTTTTTTTCAGATTTGTTTGAAACTTTAAAATATGATTTCCACGAAGTTTTCATTGAATATTGGTTTTCGTATAATATTCTCCCCACATCTAAACGCCTCAAGCAAGCATAAAAGGGGTGAGAAAAAGAAAAGAAAAATATCCCCACGAATCTCCGAGTAAAATCCACTGACATATGACTTGGATATGCAATACTTAGGGCACACGTCTAAATGTGCTTTAGTAAAACTGTTTTTGTATTTATTCCATACGAAGCTCAGCTTCTATTGTACTCGTAGGTATCTTATACCGTAGTCTATCGGCGCACGTATATACTCCCTCCGTTCCTAAATATAAGCCCTTTTAGAGATTTCAATATGAACTACTCCCTCTGTAAACTAATATAAGAGCGTTTAGATCACTAAAGTAGTAATCTAAACACTCTTATATTAGTTTACGGAGGGAGTACATATGAATGTATATAGACATATTTTAGAATATAGATTCATTCATTTTACTCCATATGTAGTTCATATTGAAATCTCTAAAATGACTTACATTTAAGAATGGAGGGAGTACGTACTATCTATATCTATCTATTATACCAATAAATACAAGTACATATGCCGTGCGTTGCAACGGAAGAAAAAATGTGTGCCTTTAAATTTAATGAGAATTATATGTGCAAGAAAAAGTATGTATACATGCCGAGAAGGAACATTTAGGTCATATTTCTCTGTTCATTGATCGAGGGGATTTAAGGGTTTTGTTAGGTCATCGCACACCTGAGAAAGGCCGCAAATTATTCATTCTATCTTTTCATTCGTTCGAGGGGATTTTAAGGTATGAAGTTCCATAATATGTAAGTGAGGTGGGTCTTCTCTTTTCCATGTACATGGCACCGATATAATACAACTGCAGTTAATTTTACTCCACGATTTTCGTTCATTGATCGAGGGGGTTTAAAGTGTTAAGTTTCATAATATGGAGTGAGCCGGGTCTTTTCTTTTCCGTGCATCTAGCTCAAGTAGTCGGGTCTTCCTTTTCTTTTCCTCAGGTAGCAATCCCTCAAGAAATTCAGGGCCCTTTTGTTGCTAGTCACCTAGCAATCCATCCATCTAGCCCTCAAGAAATTCAGGGTCCTTTTGTTGCTAGTTCACCTAGCAATCCATGCATCTATCTCTCGTACCGTAGTTAATTCCATTTAAAAAAATCCAGGGTCTTTTTTCAGCTAGCTCACATACCTATTCATCCATCCTTCATCCAGCTTACTACATGTAGTTTCACACACGTATGTAAATTGATACATTTGTTCACACATGTAGTTTCACATACCTATTCATGCATCTAGTTTCACACACGTATGTGAAGGAGCAATGTCGGGCTATTTAAAACATTTTTGCCTTATTTCTCAGGTAGTTGGGACGGCTAAGTTGTTTGTGGCTCTAAAAAGCCCGGGTAAGGCGTGGGTAAAAATCTATCTCCCAGGTAGTTGGGTCGGCTAAATTGCGTGTGTTGTGAAAGGCCCGGGCACAGAAATGATTTATGTTTGTAAGGTGCGAGTAACAATCCAAAAAAAAAGACAAGTTGAAGGTTAAACTCACGACCTCAAACACCAGGCCAAGTGTTGCTATCCACTCGAACAAACATGTCGTTCTAAGCAATAACTAGAGCAAATATTCAACATCATACTGTAGTGTGAGATTCGAAACTTTTTTATTTTATTTTTTGAAATTTTCCAATAATAATAATAATTATTAATTGGTGAATAATCTTGGAAACATAAATAATTTTTGAAATCCTGAACAGTTTTCAAATATGCAAACAATTTTAGAAATTCTATACATTTTTAGAAACAAGACGAACAAAATTTGAAATGGTAACATTTTTCAAAATTCACAAACATTTTGGGAAACATAAACCTTTTATAAAAACACGAACATTTTTTGATTTTGTGAACAATTTTTGAAAATGAAACAAGTTGAGATCATTCAGAATAATTTTAGAAAAGTGTATATTTGAAATGCAAACAACATTTTTAATTATGGGCATTTACTAAAATAGTAATATTTTCAAATTTGGAGCATTTTTTATTATATGCAATTACTAAAAATGTGTCAAGTATATTCCTTAATGATAATCTTGAGGAAGAAGTATATGTTGCTCAACCCCTAGGTTTTGAGGACCCAAAACATCCTCACAAAGTCTTCAGACTCAACAAGGCTCTACATGGCCTCAAGCAGCCCTGAGGACTTGGTATGACACGTTGAAGAAGTTCAAAAAAAAAGGTTCAAACCCGGTTTACTTGATCCAACTATTTTCACAAAATCTTATGATGGTGAACTGTTAATATTTCAAATATATGTTGATATTATCTTTAGTTGCACTAACAAGTGATACACTGACGATTTTGCAAATATAATGCATGAAGAATATCAGATGTCTATGATGGGGAGTTGAAATTCTTCCCCGATCTTCAAATTTGTCGACAACCCAATGTCATCTTTATTTCTTCGGAGAAATACATAAAAGATTACCTGAAAAAATTCGGCATGTAAGACTGCAAAGGCCTCAAATTCCTAATGCCGACAAATGGCCAACTCAGCACTGACGAAAATGGTAAAGATTTTAAGCAGAAGGTATATTGCTCCATCATTGGTCCGCTGTTTTACCTATGTGCATCCAAGCCAGACATTATGCTTAGCGTTTGCATGTGTGCCCGATTTCAAGCAACATCGGAGGAATCACACCATCATGTTATGAAGGAAATTCTTCGATATTTAGCTCACACACCAACACTTAGATTATAGTATCCCAAGGCTTATCTTTTGATCTAGCTAGATTTTTTGATTCTGATTATACTGGAGATCGTGTGGATCGCAAGTCAGCATCAGGCAGGCCATTTCCTCAGACGATCTCTTGTCTATTGGTTCTTGAAGAAGCAGAAGTGTGTATCACTTTCCATAGCAGAGGCTGAGCATATTGTTGCTGGTGCCTGCTGCTCTCAATTGCTATGGATGAAGCAGACCCTTAAGAACTATGGCGTCAATGTGAAGAAATTCTCTCTCTACCATGACAATGAGAGTGCTATCTAGATCGCACACAACTCAGTGCAACATTCACGGACAAAGCACATTCAGATTTGTCATCATTTTCTTCGTGATCATGTGCTTAAGGAAGACATCGTCATCAACCATGTGAAGACTGAAGACCAACTTGCAGATATCTTCACTAAGCTCTTGAATGTGAAGAGGTTTTGCATGTTGTGGTGTGAGCTAAACATCATAGAATCTTCGAATGTCCTTTGAAAAGGACACACATCCTAACGCTTTTACATTTTTTATGACTTTGATGCGCAACACACGAAGTAATGTATTTCTTCAATCAATGAAAATTTACCCTATTAATTGTGAAGAAATTAATGAAGAATTTGATTCTCAGAATCCTACGACAACTGTACACAGTGTGTGTAATCAATATAATTCTCATACGATGGGTAACGCCACTACACGCTTCATGACATTTTTAAAATCTGGGTTTTTCGTCATTTGCAATTTCAAATTTTCATATTCGTCAGTTGAGGTTGTTCTTCATTGCTTTAGCCAATTTTTTCTATTATATATTTATTTGAGTTTTTTCATGTCATCAGCAGCATCCACATATTGCTATTTTTCGAGTTGATTTCTTCGCGTATGTGGTTGTGATCGGACCCGCTCCCCTCTATGCTAAACTCAATCCACTTT